GCCTGCCCGTGCTGCCCTGCCGCCGTATTTCTAGTGGCTGGGCGGCATGTGGTTATCCTCTTCGTGCCTCCCGGCCCTTTAAGAGGTTTCAGATGCCGGGAGGCGGGGGTGTGCTTTTAGGGCCATGTGATCACCGCGATTCGCTGTCACATGATCGGAAAAGGTCCTGATCGCAAGGGGAGATCGGGAACTTTCTGAGAGACACCAACATATGTGCTGAGGGCGAGCTCTCAGCACGTTTTCAAATGGTACGCAAATATGCGGCCGCTCCGCGTCATGGCCCAGCCGCCGAGAGGCCGCATATTTGCATACTGTCGGCATCAAGGGGTTAAAGCGGAACTTCACTCTATGTGTACAGTGACCATTTTAACTCCTTTTGCTGTTCGTATTTATAAATTAATGGGAAGGTATATAAAATAACTTGTTTTAACTTCCTGGTTTCTGGCCTAGGCAAATTATGTCATACATCCCAGGATTCTTCAGGAGGGGTTTTCTCAGCTAAGCACACGCTTCTGTCTGCATGCCTCAACTAAGGGTAGAGAGATTCCAGGAAGTAAATGCTACACGAATATCTGCCCCTAACTATAGCCAGAAATGCTAGGAAGGTGTTTTTCAAAGTGATTTCCCAGCAAAAAAAATCACGGAGACATGGATGGGCGAGTTTTCTTTGAATGTTAAGAATGATTTTAGTTTGCGGTGCTCAGAGGCAGTGTAGTTCAGGGGCGGACTGACCATTTGGAAACTCGGGCCCGAGGGTCCGGGGTCAGTAGGGGGGCCCCATGAGATGTCCCTGGTACCTTTTTCATAGGCTTTTTTTGAGTTTGGGCAAGGACACAGGGGCCCCATGATCCCCTATTGCCCGGGGGCCCCATGAGTTGTCAGTCCGCCCCTGGTGTAGTTCCACATTAAAGCCGTATTAAACCAAAAACGTATTATACTGCTGTTTATCGAATCTTAAAAAGTGGTGGATGTATTATTTTTTTTTGTTTTTTTTTTTAAAGGCTTTTATTCCTTTATATTCAGCTGCTGCCACACCCCTTAGTCTTCCATTTTTAACTAGCTTTAACAGATCAAGCTGCCCAGCGAAAGTGGCAGTTAAAGGATTGAGGTTTCTTGTTCATTGTAGCTGATGGATTGTAGTTCTAAGGCTCCATTCACACCTATGCAGTTTGCTTTTTCTCCGTAGTTGCAGTGCTTTTCGCAGTTCATTTTGTGTTTATCTACACGTGTATTTTTTTTTTTTTTTTTTTTTTTAAGTGGAATTTTTGTTTTTTGCTAGGCAGAATAAAAATGCAAAAATGCGGTAAAAACACATCATCATGTATTTCAGCAGATTCTTCATTGAACTCCATTGTAGCAAAAACACTGCTTTTCGCTTTTAAAAAATTTCCGTGATCCTTTCCAAAAACGCAGCAGCTCAAAAAAGCATAAATGTGAACATGTTCCATAGGAAACCATGTTAAATGGACTGTAGTGCGTTTGTGCAAAAAAGCACTAAAAAAACAAAAAACAACAGTGTGAACGGAGCCTAGCTGAACAGAGCTGGGGAGCACTCTAATAGTCCATGGATTCTTCCTGCTATTCAGTAACTGCCTGCCTGTGTTGGAGGTACAAGCATGCAGCTGAGAGCAGGTGCAATGCTTTCGAGGCTGCATTGTTAAAAAAAAAAAATGCAGATCTTTTTGCAGATTAACCTCCCCGGAGGTATTCCCGAGTGTAGCTCGGGGTAAAGTTTCAGCACCACAAGCGGTAACCCCGAGCTACACTTGAGAATACCCTGCGGCGTTGCTCCGGGATCTCTTCTTCTCTTACCTTGTCCTGCGTTCCCGCGATGTCCCCCCTGCAGTGTCCCCAGCAATGTCCTCCGGCCGATACCGGCATCTCTCTTCTGGGTTCCGTTCCCTGCGACGTCGGGACGTACGGGGGACGGAACTGGCGGGAAATTTGAAAGTTGTAAAAGTGACATTCACTAAATTCACATAGTATAAACATTCCTGTATCAAACCATTTCACATACATTTGTGTCCCGAGTGCTTTGTCCGGCGCCCTGCCTGCATTTTTACTGTTCTTTCTGCCTGGAAACTGAGAAACGTCCATGGCGTCCAAAAAGGGTCCCTTTAGGTCAAAAGTGGTTTTAGACCGGCTAGAGAACAGTGATAGTAAATCAGAACCACTTGCAGAATTGAGTGATAATGATTCGTGGGGGAAATTCCTCACCAGACACTGAAACCGATTCTGCGACTGAGCTCAGCGATGTGCGAACTTGGCGCTATATTTCAAATTTCAGTGTTTTTGGTTTGATTATATTATTTAATTACATTTATTATTTTTTTTAATGATTATTTATTAAATTATAATTTATGATTTCGTGTTTCAAGTTTTATCATACCCGGGATGTTTACTAGACTTGTTCGGACAGATTTCAGTGAGTTATTCCTAAAAATGACAAGCCTACAATAAAAAAAATACATATTTCCATGCAAAAAAATGTACCACTTTGAGCACAGAAATACTGACATAATCAGACCGCTAGGGAGGCTACTGAAATTTTTTTTTTTTTTTTTTACAATAGGCGAACTTATCCTTGAAGAGGCAGGATTTCACTGCTAGCAGAGCATGGCCTGAAATAATCACTTCTAGATGGACTATAACCCTTTGCCTAGGCATAAGGAAACAATTTGCTCTAACCTTTCACCTGCAGGACACAAACATCTACTGTAGATACGGAAATCTTTAAGCCGGCTATACACGGGTCGAATTCCGAAAGAATTTTCTTTCGAAAATCTTTTCTAAGAATTTTTATTCGAATTTTGCACCATTAGTAGGTCACAGAAATGACCGATTTTTGTGCGACCGTCGGATTTGAGTGATTGGGCATGCTGGAAATTTTTTGAAAAACGAACGACTTTCTAATCAATGATGGGGGAGAATCATGCAAGAAATATAATGAAGAAAAAAAAAAAAAAAACAAGCGTGAGCTGTGACCTGGAAAGAAAAGAAAATTCTTGGCTGCGAAAATTTTCTGTAGTAACATTTGGTGAAATTGAAGGCTTGGTTGGTCGAATTTCGAAATCAGTGGTGGCGCCATCAGATTACAAAATGCATGAAATTTCTGATTTTCTAAACATAACTCGTTCAGAATTTGACCCATGCATTAGCCTTGGTTCACACTTGTGTGTCCTGCGTTTGCATAGGCAGAGCAGTTCACTCATTTGCATTTTCTGCAACAAAAAAAAAGTTGATGAACCCTTTTTAAAATTTGGTCGCAAGGAAATTGCATGGTCTTTTTGACCATGCGATTGCCCTGCGGTTCCCACAAACGCACTGAGATGCGTGGGGGGAACCCCCCCAGCCTCAAAAAGAAGAGGATGATGCTACAAGCACTTCACTAATTTCTTAGAACTTCTAAAGCACCCTACAGCTCCAATCTGGAGAAGTTAAATGGTGAGACTCTGGTCTGGTCTGGTGGTGGTGGTGGTGGTACCGGTACCGCCAAACCCTCCTGTCAAGTGCCCAGCCATTCTGCAAGGCAAAGCTTGCCAGACTCCTCCTGCACACTTTTATTGGCCAATAAAGCTGCCCTTCAAAGCAACTGGCCAATAGGAATGGGTGAGGGTAGCACTTAGGGACAAGCTCCACCACTAGCCAAAGCGTCTGCCCTTTGCCCGTCGGAACACCTTGGGGTTCAGGCTTGAGAAGTTGCTCCAGGTACATGCAGGCAATCAAGATTTTGCCCAAAATGCTGTGAGCTGACAAGTGTTATGGAGATCAGGAAGAGAGGGGTCTATATTCTTTGTAATCTATCAAAAATAAAGGCGGCAGGGCTGACACCATGTACTCAGGGGTTCAGAGCTGTGTTACATTAAATAAGAGGGCATGAGCACACTAACAATTCATTATTTTTCTGTATTGGCTGTTTGTTGAAAGGAATTTAACCACCTCTTGTCCGGCTGTTGTATATAAAACGGCCAGATGGTGGCAGTGCAGGGTCAGATGGCCGTTTATAAACGGCCTCCCCGCACCCTGCTTGTGCGCGCAGCACCGCGACCCGGTGCCCGCACAGTGGAAAAATTGATCGTTGGACAGGACCTCTGTACGAGGTCCCGATCATGTGATCACTGATTGGCCAATCAGTGATCACATGCAGAGTAGTAAGCAAGATGTCACTGGTGACATCATTGCTGACTACGAGTGAAATCTGTGAATGATCACAGAGGTCACATGGTATAAGGCTACTCACAACAGCCTTGCACCATGTGACAAGCTGTGACCAATCACAGCTCACTCAGTAGTTTTCAATGGCTGCAAGAATGCAGCTAGAGAGAAGAAGAAATGATTGCTTTTACACCCATAAAGACTGTAAAAAACCAATCAGTGTAAAAAAAACCAAACAAAAAAAAAAAACCTTAATTACCACGGTGACACTGTACTGCTAGGGTGACAGTATGAAAAAGAAAAAAAAAAAAAAAGATAAAAAAAAAAAAAAAAGTAAAAAAAAAATGTTTAAAAATTATAATTTTTGGTTATAAACTAATTTGGGTTATTTTGTTTTTACTAAAAATATAACTGAATAAATATTGGCCAAGATTTATGATGAAATATTATTTATTTGCAAAATTTTATAAGAAACACTTTTTTTCAAAATTTTTGGACTTTTGAATTTACATAGCAAAAAAAATAAAAATCCCAGCGGTGAATAAATACCACTAAAATAAAGCTTTATCTGTCTCAAAAAAAAAAAGCTAAAAAATTCATATGGGTACAGTGTTGCATGACCGCGCAATTGTCATTCAAAGTGTGATAGCGCTGAAAATTGGCCTGGGCAGGAAGGGGGTAAAAGTGTCCGGTCTGGAAGTGGTTAACAATCAGTCTGACTTATGACCCAGCTTATTTAATAGGAATGCACATACATAATAACCAAGCTTTAAAGCGGGATTCCACTCACGCTGTCAAAAAATAAAAGTCAGCAGCTACAAAAACTGTAGCTGCTGACTTTTAAAAAAACAGCCACTTAGCTGTCCCTCGGTCCCGCGGTGTGTCCCCCGCAGCCCGTTTCACCAGCCGTCCTGTACTCCAGGAGGCCGGCATCTTCAGTGTGGACACCCGGCTATGACAGCTTACGGCTTCACAGCCGGGTACCCACTGCGCATGCGCGAGTAGCGCTGCGTTTCATGAATGGTCCTGTAGTCTTCTGGGACCTGTCACATGTCCCAAAAGACTACAGGAAGGGAGGACACCTTCCGCTTGTGATCAGACCGGAAGTGATCAGACTAGGTGATCAGACCGGAAGTGGGAGCGGGTACCTGTCAAATTCGGGTACCCGCTCCCCAAAGGTGTCAATCCTTAATGGGGAGCGTGGGGAGCAGTCCTTAAAGCAGAACTTCCCCTTTTGGGTGGATCTGTGCTTTAAGCAGTGCGCTAAAGCTTGTTAAAAGCTACAACCAACCATCACATTAATATCTGATATACCAACACTCACATGGGAGTTGAACGTAGCTTCAAGAACAGCTGCTGCTGTTCAGTCCTCATGCACACGGGACGTTTTTACAGCGGCTGTTTTTGGCTTTCGACTTTTTTTTTCTACAGCCAGTAAACCCCCCCAGCATGTTATCCTATGTGTCCATGCACACAGACTGGAATCAATGTTTTTTGGCGGAAAGAAACCCCAGAAGTAGTGGGTTTCTAGGAGTTTTTTTTACAAGTAAAAAAACAATCTAACGCTGAAAAAAATGCAAATCGCAGCAAACTGGTGTTTTTTTGACCGAAAAAAAAAAAAATGCATTTTTTTTTTTATAAAGAAAAAAAAAAAAAAAAAAAAATGCAAACGCAGCAAAACGCAATGCTAAACAAAAGCTGAAAAACTCACTTTTTTTTTTTACAAAGAAAAACATTTTTTTTACCCGTCACATGGTACATAAAAAAAAAAACAAAATGCAAACGCAGCAAAACGCAATGCTAAACAAAAGCTGAAAAACTCACTTTTTTTTTTTAACGTGACTTTACACAGCGAACGTTAGCAGCGTTATTAAAACGCCCCGTGTGCATGGAGCCGAAGGGTTAATAAAGGAATGCTGATGTCTTTAGGGCATTAGAGGTGTGTTTCACTGAACTCCCTTTGCCCCTGCAGATGTGAAGTTCTTGAAGCGTTACACAAAGACATTTGTAGCCTGCCAAGAAAAATACAAATACGTAATGAATCACACCTAAAAAGTAGGATGTTTTGGGGAATTTTCCATTTGGTTCTTGCAGATGTGGGATGTTCCCATAACATAAACATGTCACAAACCTTTTTAAATGTAATCGCAGGCTTTTTTTTTTTTCTTCACTATAGCTCACAGCATCAGCTGTCACTTTCCCCTCCAGGCTAAAAGAAAGAAAGTTTCCTTTTAGTTTATTTCCCCAATGCGGTTTCCCATAGGAATGCATTGAAAACCAATTAATCCGTTCCGGAGGTCAGAAATAAGAGAAAAGAAAGAAAAAAAAAAAAGTCGCTGTCACTATAGGTCAGTGGCGGTTTTTAAATGTAATTGCCGGCTTTTTTTTTTCTTCACTATAGCTCACAGCATCAGCTGTCACTTTCCCCCCCAGCTAAAAGAAAGAAAGAAAGAAAGTTTCCTTTTAGTTTATTTCCCCAATGCGGTTTCCCATAGGAATGCATTGAAAACCAATTAAATCTGTTCCGGAGGTCAGAAATAAGTAAGAGAAAAGAAAGAAAAAAAAGTCGCTGTGTCACTATAGGTCAGTGCCGGTTTTTAAATGTAATTTCTGCCTTTTTTGTTTCTTCACTATAGCTCACAGCATCAGCTGTCACTTTCCCCCCCAGCTAAAAGAAAAAAAAGTTTCCTTTTAGTTTATTTCCCCAATGCAGTCTCCCATAGGAATGCATTGAAAACCAATTAATCTGTTCCGGAGGTCAGAAAAAAGTAAGAGAAAAGAAAGAAAAAAATAAGTTGCTGTCACTATAGGTCAGTGCCGGTTTTTAAATGTAATTACCGGCTTTTTTTTTTTTTTTCTTCACTATAGCTCACAGCATCAGCTGTCACTTTCCCCCCAGTTAAAAGAAAGAAAGTTTCCTTTTAGTTTATTGAGTTAAAAGAAACAAAGTATCCTTTAGCTCTGGGGAAAGTGACAGCTAATTCTGTGAGCTATAGTGAAAAAAAAAAAAAAAAAAAAGCCGGCAATTGCATTTAAAAATCGGCACTGACATACACTTCGTATTGCGAAATAAATTCGTAAAAAAAATTTGTAAACCGAGGCATTTCAATGGATTTTCATTCATAAAACAAAAATTACGTTAACCGAGGTACAACTGTATATCTCAGTGTGAAGTCATCCAAGGCACTATTCCTCTGAATGCTAGTCTCATCTAGGTGATGAGATCACTGTGCTGCCCCGTTCTCCTTGCTGAAAGGGAAGCTGTATCTATGAACTTGCAGTGCAAGGATCTCCCAGTTTGTGCTTCATCCACCTCTCCTGCTGCTTCTGGGTCATCACCCCATTAGTCATCAGGAGGCAGCCCTAACATGAGGCAGCAAAGCCCTGCTACTCTAAGATGACCATCGCCTCTACAGCAACAGCATGCAGCTATGCATAGTAAAGTCAGAAACTAAAGAGGATCAGCTGCAGGCAGCCTGCAACCAATACTGATGACTAAGGCTGGCCATACATTATACAATTTTCTTGGGATTTTTGGTTTAGATTTACCAAAAACCATATAATATGTCAAACCTAAACACTTTCAGTTATATCCAATTAGGGCCCCTGTACTACATAGTTGAAGGCGGGGCGGACTGACCATTAAAGCACTTGGGCACTGCCAGAGGGCCCAGGGTCAGTAGGGGGCCCCATGAGATGCCCCTGGAACCTTTCATAGGCTTTTCTGGGTGTGGTTTGAGTGTGGGCAAGGACACAGGGGCCCCATGATCCCCTATTGCCCGGGGGCCCCATGAGTTATCAGTCCGCCCCTGGTTGAAGGTAAATCAATTTTCTGCCCAATTTCCTTTAGATTTACCTTCAACCAGGGGCGGACTGATAACTCATGGGGCCCCCAGGCAATAGGGGATCATGGGGCCCCTATGTCCTCACCCACACTCAAACCACACCCAAAAAAGCCTCTGAAAAGGTTCCGAGGGCATCTCATGGGCCCCCTACTGACCCTGGGCCCTCGGGCAGTGCCCAAGTGCTTTAATGGTCAGTCCGCCCCTGCCTTCAACTATGTAGTGCAGGGGCCCTAATTGGATATAACAAAGTGTTGTTTAGGTTTGACCTCATATTATATGGTTTTTGGTAAATCTAAACCAAAAATCTCAAGAAAATTGTATAGTGTATGGCCAGCCTAATTATTCAGTGCAAACTCTGGTGAAGCTCTGCATAGAAAACAGCTTCCAGATTTTATTGCCAAAGCTTAATTGAACAAGCTGGAGTTAGGAGCCGATTGGCCGCCATGCAGAGCTACAGCAGATTTTGCATTCTTCATTTTTAGTAAATCAAACTGCTGATGTCTGTTTCTTAACAAAACCTCAGTTTTAGTCCTTATGCCCCGTACACACGATGAGAATATCGGACGAACGATCGACCGTTTTTTTCGCCTGCTAGTCTCACATTGAAAGTGAAAAGGTTAGTAAAGATACGAAAATTCTCCTATGTAAGAAAAGAAATTTTGAAAGTGATGTCATGTATTGCGTTGTATTTGTATTGTATTTTCAGACGACTATTGTACTGATCGTACGATCTGGTATCGTACGAGAAAAATTTTTGCGCTTGTCCCTTCGGATATTGTACGAATTGTCGTGATCGGCTCTCGAAAACGGTGTACTAAAGATCCGATTATCGGACGATCGGTCCTCGTACGAACATTTTCGTACGATTTTCTTATAGTGTGTACGGGACATTAGCTTAGATGTGGCACCCAACAGTCACTTTCGTTACATTTTACTCCACCATCCAATCCCTGGAATTTGGCAAGAATCAAATTTATATCTTATGCATACAAGTACCATAACATGGTGGATGAAATAGAAAAAACAAACAACCATCCTCCAATAAAACATGTATTAGGTAGGTCTGTTTCACCACCACCAAAAAAACATGTAGATCAGGGATTGACAACATAATCTCGTTTTAGCCATTTTGTAGTGTAACTGACACTGCTAGGTAAAGAGGCAGTGAAAAGCAAAATGTACAAAAAAAAAAAAAAAAAACAAAAAAAAAAAAAAAAAAAAAACTACAGTCAACCATAACCGCTAAAAAAAAACAATTAAAAGGGTCAGTCCACCCAATAACTCACAGGCTTTTTTTTTTTTGGCTTTTCTGAGAACACTGGTCCGAATCTGGGATTCCCAGCCACCGCCTAAAGGGGTCTCAAAGTGATCACCCACTATAATGGCTGCACCAGGAGGACTGAGCTGGAGCAACCGCTGCACAGATCTCGCCACTGGAGTTCCCATGGAACATAAAAACACAGGTGGGTGATCCAGCTCAATACCCTCCTAGAACCAAAATACTGGTTTTGGATGGACTGGCCCCAAAAAAATGAAAAAGGAAGAAAAAAGGGACAAAAATGCAATTTATGAAAAAAAAAGAAAAAAAAGGTGTGTGTCTCTTTACGCTATCTAAGATAATATGTAGGAGAATCTCCAATAGTCTCTCAAGTTCAGAGCGTACATAAAGCTTGTGGAACACTAACATAAAAAGAGAACATAAAATATATATATATAAAATATATATACAGAATATATATTTACATGCAGATTCCCAGCATTGAAAAAAAAAAAAAAAAAACAAAACAAAAAACAGATTGAAGCGTCGGCACAGATGAAGGGAGTGTGTGCAAACTGCATTTCTTTGTAGTAGAATGAAGCATCTGTCCCCGCTGCCTTCAGAGCTACTCCCCAGCATGATGGGAGGAAGTCATGTGATGTCAACAGGATTGGCCTGGAACAGGGGGACCAATCGTAGGCAGGCTGATGGAATGAACGCTGCTTGCGATCCACATGTGGCTTAAACTTTCCCATCCTTTTGCTGTGTCTCTGTTGAGGCCATCTGGGGGGAAGGTCTTGGGCCAATGGGTTACAGGATCACACATGGACAGCTCTTGGATTCTTTCTTCTTAGGGTTAACAGCTGGGGTCGGTGGGCTCTCCAATTCTTGAAATTTTCTGCAAAAGGCAATGACAGGTTGGCAACATATACAAGACAAACAGGATTTTTAGGTTTTATGATCAAAGCTCAACTGAACAAGTTAGAAGCCGATTGGCTTCCATGCACAACTGCACCAGATTCTGAGTGCTCCAGTTTTAGTAAATTTCTTTTTAAGGGCCAGTTTCAGTTGCTTTTTTTTCTGCATCCAAAACGCACAGAAAGTGGGTTATATGGTTATCAATGTCATAGTTCGCATCAGTGCTTGCAGTTCCAGTTGCAGAAAAAAAAAAAAAAAAGGGAAGAAAAAGAAGAAGAAGAAGAAGAAAGAAGGAGGGAAGAAGGAAGAGGGGAAGAAGGAGAAGAGAAGAAGAAGAAACAGGCTGCATTTTTTCTGCACAAAACTGTACTGGAGGAGTGCGGTAAAAACGCATCATGTCCCTATTTAAATTGAAGAAAAAGGTGGGAAAACAAGTGGAATGCATAAAAATTTACTGGGGCGCGTCAAAAGCGCATAAAAAAAAAAAAAAACGCACCAGAAAGCGTCAAAAACCCGCATGCAAAAAAGGTATCCAGAACGCATCTGGACTGCGTTTCTATAGTGTGAACCGGCCCCAAGTCTAGTGATCCAAAACAAACCAGCCAGTGAAGTCTCGACACCTTATTTGCACTTAGTCATTCCAGGTCAGCGAGTAAACAGTACTGCCAGGAACAGGAGGATAGCGTCAGAGGAGCGTGTACCTTCCAAAACAAACAGGCAGTGCCTATACTAATCCAAGCACAGCAACACCCCGGACACATCAAACCCTACTTTGAAATCATGCGACTTACAGTGAAGTCGCACGATTTCAACGTTAGATGACGTGCCGATTTCAGTTTGCGATTTGCAAGACATCGGATAAAGAGGTCTATGCAAATCGCACCAAATGTAGTGCATGTCCTACTTTAGAAACTGGTGCGGCTCCGACCGAGTCAGAACCGCACCGAGCTGACCGTTCTAATTGCGGACAATAGGCTGCGATTTTGCATGCAATTTGCAAGTCGCATGGCATGCAAACCGCATGCCAATTCACATCCAGTGTGACCGGGGTGTTGAAGCCAATTTAAAAAGGAGAAGCAGGGCTGTACTTCTCTTGTAGCTCTTAGAAGTGCACGTTGTTCTGCACTCCTCTGACTCATATTCAGCCCGTAGAGAGCTGAAGGCCGCTATCAGCTGACATCACTCAGTCTATCTAGACTCTGGAGAGATCCCGACTTTAATGTCGGAATCCACCCAGATGTCCAAGCGGCAGCTGGCTCAGTCTCAGTGTGCTGCTTCGAGCCGGAGCCAGTCACTCCCTCCCACTCCAATGAACGCTGGAGTGGCACAGCAGAGAGACGGAGGTTGACAGTCACCGCCCTCTGCTCACTGAAGACTGGGAACAGAGCGAGCAGCAGATTTTGATCGCTCAGTCTTGCAAGCGGCAGGACACAGATGCTAAAGAGGGCTAAAGTCCACTATTGGCTGATGTCACTCAGTCTATCTAGACTGGAGAGATCCCGACTTTAATGTCGGAATCCACCCAGATGTCTGAGCAGCAGCTGGCTCAGTCTCAGTGTGCTGCTTTGAGCCGGAGCCAGTCACTCCCTCCCACTCCAATGAACGCTGGAGGGGCACAGCAGAGAGACGGAGGTTGACAGTCACCGACCCTCTGCTCGCTGAAGACTGGGAACAGAGCGAGCAGCAGATTTTGATCGCTCAGTCTTGCAAGCGGCAGGACACAGATGTAGCACTGGATTGATGCTGCATTCACCTAGGGCAGAGGTAGGCAACCTGTGGCTCTCTAGCTGTTGTGGAACTGCATTTCCCATGAGGCATTGCAGATTACAAAACTGACAGTTACAGCTATAAATTGCAGAGGCATGATGGAACTTGTAGTCCTGCGACTCTCAGGCTGCCTACCCCTGGTCTTGGGGAAACTCCTTTATAACTACAGCGGTAGTGGAAATCCCATGTGATTCACACAGGAACCGCACCGCATTCCTGTACAAATCATATGCCATTTGTATGCGGTGCGATTAGAGCCGTACATTTTGTATGACTCTAATCGCACCGCAACCCTTTTTTGGTCCTCACAAGAATTGGATCGCATGGGTATTCACACCTATGCGATCCGATTCTCCACATCGCACTGCGTTTTGCGGACCGATCTGGGGGTGTCGTTAACATACACACCCGCATCGGTCTGTGTGAACGGGGTGCGATTGTGATGCGGTGCGGAATTCGAAAATGCTGAAAATGCTGCAAATTCTGCACACACACACCCTCGGTCCAGCGGTGTCCACACCATGGTTGGTTTCACCGGCCGTCTTCTCTCCCTGGCATCTTCAGTGTGGGCACCTGGCTGTGTTCCGAGTTGCCACCAGAACATGAGTCAAGGGGAAATATTCCAGTGGGGACAATGATTTTAATCCTCCCCATCTCTACTGGAAATGAAAAAAAAAAACAAAAAGAAAAAAACAAAAAAACTTGGCTTTAGATACATTTTAACCACCTCTCGTCCAGCCGTTGTATATAAACGGCCGGACGGTGGCAGTGCAGGGTCGGGTGGCAGTTTATAAACGGCCTCCCCGCCCCCTGCTTGTGCGTGCTCCCTGGGAGCACGATCCGGTGCCTGCTGTGTCCTCCGGACACAGTGGAACACCGATCGTCGGACGGGACCTCTGCGCGAGGTCCCGATCATGTGATCACTGGCTGGCCAATCAGTGATCACATGCAAAGTAGTAAGCAAGATGTCACTTCTGCCATCATTGCTTACTACGTGTGAAATCTGTGAATGATCACAGAGGTCACATGGTACAAGGCTATTCACAACAGCCTTGTACCATGTGACAAGCTGTGACCAATCACAGCTCACTCAGTAGTTCTCAATGGCTGCAAGAATGAAGCCAGAGAGAAGGAGAAATTATTGTTTTTATACCCATAAAGGCTGTAAAAGCAATCAGTGTAAACAAAAAAAAAAAAAGAAATCTTCATCACCTCCCACAAGTAGTACAGCGTCACCATGGTGACAGTATGTAAAAAAATAAATACATAAAAAAATATAAAAAAAAAAAACTAAAAAGTAAAAAAAATTTTTTTAAAAATGATAATTTTTGGTTATAAACTAATTGGGGTTATTTTTTTTTTTTTACTAAAAATATAACGGAATAAATTTTGGCCAATATTTATGATGAAATACTATTTGCAAATTTTATAAGAAAAAAACTTTTTTTTTTCAAAATGTTTGGACATTTTAATTTATATAGCAAAAAAATAAAGATCCCAGTGGTGTGAATAAATACCACCAAAATAAAGTTTTATCTGTCTCAAAAAAATGCTAAAAAATTCACATGGGTACAGTGTTGCATGACTGGGACCGCGCAATTGTCATTCAAAGTGTGATAGCGCTGAAAGCTGAAAATTGGCCTGGACAGGAAGGGGGTGAAAGTGTCCGGACTGGAAGTGGTTAATTCAGCTCAGTATATCGGGAGGAGTGTCTCTGGGGGTTAAACGGATCTAGTGATCCTGACAAGGGCTGTGAGCATAGCATACCATAGCTATGAGGTGAGGTCACTGTAGTCTACAGCCAGAGGGAGGGGAGGGAGATTGCAGGAACACATTCTACTTTTCTGCACGCTGTAATGATTACAACATGAAGGCCTTCCTCTGCGCCCCGCTCACCTTCCCATTGCACTTCCTATAGCATCAACTTTCACATCCTGCTTCAAAACGTAAAACGTTTACAACAAGACGCACACTCAGGGCCTATGTGGATTACCACTCGCCCTCCAAGAGGATTCCCCCCCCCCCCTTCCTGAACAGGCCATTTTTTGCGATACGGCGCTGCATTACTTCAACTGACAATTGTGCGGTCATGCAACACTGCACCCAAATTAAGTGTATCCTTTTTTCCCCCACAAATTGATCTTTATTTCGATTTGATAGACTTTGCGGTTTTTAATTTTTTTTTGCGCTATAAACAAAAAAAGTTAAATTTGAGAAAAAAAATTATTTTTTTTTGCTATTAAAACATGTTCAGTAAAAATGTTTTTTTTTTTTTTAAATCAAATTTAATCATAAAATTTAGGCCAAAATGTATTTTGGGACATGTCTTTGCTAAAAAAAAAAAAAATTAAAAAAAAAAGTAAATTAAACAGTTCACAGAGAGCTTGGAGCCAATGCAGCACCTCGGGGAAAGAAAAAACGGTTCATTTGGACCAACTTGGTCCAAACCCGCTGTCACAATTTGAAAATAATGCAGCTGTAAAATAAAGTGGTTGTATGGGCAGCACAGTGGCTAAATGGTTAGCACTTCATCTGGCAGTACTCGGGTCGTGGTTCGAATCCCAACCACGGCACCACCTGCCTGGAGTTTGCATGTTCTCCCTGTGCCTGCATGGGTTTCCTCCGGGTACTCCCGTTTCCTCCCACACTCCAAAGACATGCTGGTAGGTGAATTGGCTCCTGTCTACATTGTCCCTAGTATGTGTATGTATGAATGTAAGTTAGGGACCTTAGATTGTACGCCCCTTGAGGGTTAGGGACTGATGTGAATGTACAATATATATGTAAAGTGCTGCGTAAATTGATGGCGCTATATAAGTACCTGAAATAAATAAATAACCTCAGACATGAAATATGGACAAAGCATATCCCTCTATAATGTGTACTTGTCTCAATAGGAGCACTAAGGCTCACTTCTGTCTGCTGCTTTTGTTGCTCTGCTATCAGCGCATGAGTCACTCCTGACAAGTTTTCCTGACACCAAGAGAAAAATGGTGACAGGGAAGGGACCTCCAGCAGATTGACAGCCTGTGCAGTGTGTCTTCCCTCCAATCAGCTCTCAGAGCTATCCTCCCAAAGCTCTGTAGAGTGCAACTTCAGCTCTCCGCCCCCTGTTTCCTGAAACTCTCAGACAAGCTTTACAAATTCAGCACTTTAAAAACAGATGTACCTGTTTATCTGCTGCATTATCTTATCTACAACTTATGTCGGAGGAATTTGTTTCATCTCTATGTATCACCTGAGGCCAGTCACTTCACTGGGTATATGGAAGGGTTTACAACCACTCTAAGCTCACAGATAGAATTTAGCAACCACACCTCGTTTGGAAAGACCCATCTGGATTCAAATATTGACTCATAGCCGGCTATAGGTCTTATCAGAGCTTCCGGTTATTAACAGCCACGTATTACCTGATTGCCCTGACCAGCTCATGGAAAGATTCATCTACATTTAATCGGATCTTGGCTGAGGCTTCCATATAAGGAATTCGGTTTTCCCGTGCGAAGTTCAGGGCTTCCTCTCTGGTCACCTTTATGGGAAGCAGGGCGACAAGCAGAAGTAGTAAACGACTAATTCCAGTCAGTAAGGGGAAGTGCGCATCAATACTTCCCCAATATGACCACAAATAAAAAATCATAAGCAAAGCACATTTCCATCCTAACTGACAGTAATATTATTTCTACTGGCAATAACCAGAAAACACGATTTCGTCTTTACAACAATGATTTCCTTATATCAGTGGTTCTCAACCTTCCTAATGCCGCGACCCTTTAATACAGTTCCTCATGTTTATGGTGACCCCCAACCATAAAATTATTTACCCAAGTAATTATAATTCATGAGAGTCATTTTACCTTCAATATGGCTGCTTTCTACGCAGCAGCTGCTTTCAACGCAGCAGCTGCTTTCAACACAGCAGCTGCTTTCAACAGCAGCTGCTTTCAACACAGCAGCTGCTCTGTACACATCAAAAATATGTGTTTTCCAATGGTCTTAGGCGACCCCCTGTGAAAGGGTCGTTTGACCCCCAAAAGGGTCGCGCCTCACAGGTTGAGAACCACTGCCTTATACGAATGATCACATACAGTTGTGCTCAAAATTCTGACAGAAGCGTAACATTTTGCCACCGATATTGAAAATGTGACTGATCATTCCTAAAAAAACTATTTTAATTAAAGGATAGTGATCATATGAATCCATTTATTATCACATAGTTGTTTGGCCCCTTTTTAAATCATAAATGGTAACAGAAATCACCCAAATGGCCCGGCATCAGAAATTTACATACCTGGAATGAGGCATGTAAAAGTGTTGTTGAGTATATTGTAACCGGGGTTTTCGTGGCTTCTCTTTCTGGCAACTCGGCCATGCAGCTCATTTTTGTTCAACTATCGTATTGTGCACCTTGAAACATCCACTCTATCATTTTTTCCAAAGCAGCCACGCAGTCTTACCAGAGCAGGCTGTATTTCCCTTGAGGTTACCTGTAGGAGTTTTCTTTGTGTCCTGAACAATTCTTCTGGCAGTTGAGGCTGCAATCTTTCTTGGTCTACCTGACCTCGGCTTGGTATCAAGAGATCCCCGAATTTTCCACTTCTTAAAGCGGAGCTCCACCCAAAGGGGAAGTTCCGATTTTTAGCCATTTGTCCCCCCACTCCCCATTAAGGATTGGCGCCTTTGGGGAGTGGGTGGAGCGGGTGCCCGAATTTGACAGGTAGCCGCTCCCACTGCGATAGCCTAGGTGATCGGAAGCGGAAGTTGTCCTCCCTCCCCGGAGTCTTCTGGGACACGTGACAAGAAGACTACGGGGCCATTCACAAAGCACAGCACTTCTCGCGCCTGCGCAGTGGATACCTGGCTGCAGTGGTGGACTGACCATTTGGAAACGCAGGCACTGCCCAAGGGCCTGGGGTCAGTAGGGGGCCCCATGAGATGCCCCTGGTACCTTTTTCATAGGCTTTTTTGAGTTTGGGCAAGGACACAGGGGCCCCATGATCCCCTATTGCCCGGGGGGCCCCGTGAGTTGTCAGTCTGCCCCTGCCTGGCTGTGAAGCCGCAGGCTGTCACAGCGGGTGCCCACACTGAAGATGCAGGCACCAGGGAAACATGATGGCTGGTGAAACCATCGGTGGTGAGGACACCACTGGACCACGGAACAGGTAAGTGTCTGTATTTTAAAAAAAGTCAGCAGATACAAATTTTTGTAGTTGCTGAATTTTATTTTATTTTTTTCTCCCGGTGGAAACTCTGCTTTAATAAGTGATTGAACAGTACTGACTGGCATGTTCACAGCTTTGGATAATCTATTTACATCTTTTGCCCATCTTTTTTCCATTACCTTCTTACGCAGGTCTTTTGACTGTACTTTTCTGCTCCCCATGGCTCAGTGTCTACTCAGTGCATCTATCTATCCAGCTCTATAAGAGGTTCAGAGAGAGGGGCTATTCACATAGAACCCTAAGAAGAGCAAAAAGAAGAGCCCTCGGTAAAACAAGAGAGGAACTTATTAATAAATCAAAACCATAGGCAGCTGCGAATACTGTAAACCAACCGGGTAAGATTCATAACTAAATTTGGACAACAATGGGGTGAAGTCAAGAAGGCCCTGGACTCCCATTGGCATTTACTAACTCAAAATCCGCAGATAGCGAGAGTGGTAGGAGAGAGAGCCCCCATATGGTAGCAAAACGAACTCGGAATCTAAATGATATATTAGTACAATCAGAATTTCAGAGGGCACCACAAAGAAACTGGCTAACTAGGAGGACTGGCGTATATGGCATGTTTTCCATGTGGCCATTGTCAGATTTGTCCATTTGTACATAAGTCCAATCAGTTCTTCAACAATGATAACTCTAGGATATTTCAAAATACGAAGCTTTATTAACTGCTCTAGTAGTAAAATGATATACATGATAGAATGTCCATGTAAAAAGATATATATAGGTAAAACAAAAAGAAGCCTTAGGACTAGGATTGGTGAACATCTGAGAGACATTAGAAATGAAAATAGGAATGTAAGAAAGGGAGAAAAAGAGAACCCACTGGCACAACACTTTAAAGAAGTACACGGGGGCAAAACAGATGGTCTAAAAGTAAAAGGGATCTTTCTGCTGAATATTTCGGGCTCGTCGGGGTGACTTTGACAAAGTCCTCCTACAAAAAGAAAAATTCTGGAACTGTGCAATCTTCTCTACTCCTATTGGGTGGTGAGCATATACAGTTGTGACCAAAATTATTCAACCCCCAATGCTGTAAAGGGGTTTAGGGACTATAGTGTACATTTGGAATTGTATTCAGAATCAAATCCTACAAGGACGTTGTAACTACTACCAAATGCAACTAAAATGACATCAATTGTTTATGTAATACAGTAGTAAATGGTTCTTATGTGGTTTCTTCATTGCCACAATTATTCAACCCCTTAAAGACTACCACTCTGAAGAACAGAGGTTCATACAGGTGCTTTCCATCAGGTATTGAAAACACCTGTGGATGTCACCGAGCAGCAATCAAGCATAATAAGCACCAATTAGGCAGCTTTAAAATGACTGTGATACTCAGCTCCTTCTAGACATTTACTGGTGTGGTTACAAACATGGTGAAGGCAAGAGAATGGTCCAGGAAGACAAGAGAAGAGGTGATTTCTCTTCACAGGAAGGGCAATGGCTATAAGAAGATTGCAAAGATGTTAAACATACCAAGAGACACCTTAGGAAGCATCATTCGCAAATTCAAGGCAAAGGGCACTGTTGAAACGCTACCTGGTCGTGGCAGAAAGAAGATGCTGACTTCGACTGCTGTGCGCTACCTGAAGCGTAGAGTGGAGAGAAGTCCCCGTGTGACTGCTGAGGAACTGAGAAAAGATTTGTCAGATGTGGGTACAGAAGTTTCAGCCCAGACAATAAGACGCACACTGCGTAATGAAGGCCTCCGTGCCAGAACTCCCAGGCGTACCCCTTGCTGTCTCCAAAGAATAAGAAGAGTCGACTGCAGTATGCCAAAAGCCATGTGGACAAACCACAAAAGTTGTGGGATAGTGTTCTGTGGACTGATGAAACAAAATTAGAACTGTTTTGGCCCATGGATCAACGCTATGTTTGGAGGAGGAAGAACAAGGCCTATGATGAAAAGAACACCTTGCCTACTGTGAAGCATGGTGGAGGGTCAATCATGCTTTGGGGCTGTTTTGCTTCTGCAGGTACAGGGAAGCTTCAGCGTGTGCAAGGTACCATGAATTCTCTTCAGTACCAGGAGATATTGGATGGAAACGTGATGCAGTCCGTCACACACCTGAGGCTTGGGAGACGTTGGACCTTTCAACAGGACAATGATCCCAAGCATACCTCCAAGTCCACTAGAGCATGGTTGCAGAGGAAAGGCTGGAACATTTTGGAGTGGCCATCGCAGTCACCAGACTTAAATCCGATTGAGAACCTCTGGTGGGACTTAAAGAAAGCAGTTGCAGTGCGCAAGCCTAAGAATGTGACTGAACTGGAGGCCTTTGCCCATGAAGAATGGGCGAAGATACCCGTAGATCGCTGCAAGACACTTGTGTCAAGCTATGCTTCACGTTTAAAAGCTGTTATAACTGTAAAAGGATGCTGTACTAAGTACTAAGATTGAATGTCACTTGGGGGTTGAATAAAACTGATAATGCTGTGAGCACAGAAAAGACATTTGTGGTTATTTCATTATAACTGTTATGTTATATTTGTCTGACCTACAAGTGCCTCTTTAATGTAAATGTAAGCAAGATGACTGAATGATCAAAAGCAATGTCAAACTGGCCAAAACACTCAATTTCAGTGGGGGTTGAATAATTTTGGTCACAACTGTACAATAATAGGACTGATATTGAAATTTCTGGCAGCTGGACCTGGTTTTGATGTTTCCCTATGTGAACAAGAAATATGCTAATAATAATCTCCTCTTTATTATCCTCTTGGAAGATGACTTGATCTATAGTAATTAGGCTCCTCTTCTACATCCAGCAATCTTTTTTTAAAATTCAAGATATGTGTTTTAATTCACTTTGGATATTCTTAATGTAGTGATATTCTTTCAACACAAGATGGCGAGGTGGAGACTTTTTGGTATGCAATTAGTGCACCATATAAGGCAAAGGATTGAAGTCCCCTCCCAGTTCTGACGAAGTCTGCGGTGATTGGCGGACGAAACGCGTCAACGTATTGACGTCACTACGCTCGGCGTCTTCACTGGGTGCAGCGCCCACGAGGCGGGAAGGAACAGCGGTGTCACAGCTCCCTGCTAGGAAGGCCCAAGACCCTCTGAGAACTACCAGTGGGCTACTATCACAGCGGTTCGCAAACGGCAATCCCCCAGGGAAACATACCTTCCACCGGTGGCAAGTTATTTAAAGCTTACGGCTGTTGAGATTTACAGAGCCTACATGGTGTTAATAGGGCATGTTTTATGGGCCTAATTTACCCTGTATACTCGGGGAATTTTTTGGAAATCCTCTTTGGAGGAGAATCTACATATATATATATATATATATATATATATATATATATATATATATATATATACACACACGCTATCCTATTCAGGTATTTTTTGCTGTGACATAGCCACATCCTTATAAAACCGCAATAACCTTCTCTAATTGAGCAATTTTTGGAAACCCTTTTATTGGGTATATTAAACTCAGGTATCTACGGCCTGCTATATGCTACATACACATTCTATGTGTTTGAAATCCACGCATTGTGTATACCTGGCTCCTCACCCCATATGCATCTTTGAAAAAGCATCAAGGACCTGATCCTATTTCAAGTCGACAGGAGTCTTCTTGATCTTTATTGATGGTAATATACCCACATTTTGTGTGTATTTTGTTTTCGGGGTCACTTGATGCCCATGATCTACATATTTACAATTTTTTTCTATATATATCCTCAGAATCATTTGGTACTGTGGACCTTGTTTTATTTGGGGTGGCTATCCAGGAAGTCCCTACACTTGAGAAGCGGGTATAATGATAGTCTCACTATTGAGAAGGTAATAGTAGTATCCATTGACTACTGTGGAGGGAGGCCTGGTGAATTTTGGATGTGACTTGGTTTCCATATTTCTATACATATAACTATGTATTTTTGTGTTCCAGCTTTTACATTCCAGGAGGTCCCTGACATATATTGGGAACACACCTACTGAATACATGGTTTACTCAAATATAAAGCGGGAAACCTACGGAAACCCAGGATAACTATTTCATCATTACACAACTCTGCCTTATATGGTGCTCTATTGGCTAAGATGACCCAAAATTGAAGACGCTAAGTGCTTTTAACATGATTTTATTTTTTTCACATGTACACCGTGCTCATGTTTAACCTCCTTATGATCTATGTGATCAAATAAAGTATTGTTGAAATTCTTTTGAATTCATATTACTCCGCGTGGATCATCTAGAAACCTTCTTTTTCAGGTAGGGGTGTTCTTGTCACACTACCATATTGCTTAGTATGTTTTTTGGGTTTATGTATCCACACTTATACAAGTGAGTCGGAGATATGCTAATGACATCAGTAATTCGTGTCATTTTTGGTGCCTGCTTTTGCTTTATTGTTGTGATCTACTCAGTGCATCCACGTGAAAGCTAACAAAAACTCATTGACTATTCATACACAGACACGAAATTGCAATTTAAAAAGCCAAATTTGGGAAAATTAAACCTTTTATTGCCATTTTAACCTGTATGTGTGTCACCTTGTGTGTCTGTACCAAAGCCAAACATTCCAGGGGAGGGAAACTTTTGATCAGTACCATTTGGGTGATTTCTGTTATTAGGACTTAAAAAAGGAGCCAAACAACTATGTGATAATAAATGGCTTCATGTGATCACTAATGCAGGCCATAGATGAGGAAAACCAGCTGAAAATTCGTCCAAAAGAATAGTCGGACGATTTTTGGATCGTTAGTGGCTGAATTGGTCAGCCGTTTTTCTTGATTTTGACAAAAAAATTTTTAAATCGGTCACGTTGGAAAAAAAAAACGGCCGATTTTGCCCATCGGCCGATTTTCACGGCAATGATGGGCAAAATCGGCCGATCTCATGCTCATGAGCCATGACCAAAGAAAAACATCTGTATCTATTTTTATCCATTTCGGATACAGATGTTTCTATTCGGATACAAATAGATACAATGTTTGCAACCGCAATACTTATGAATGTCAAATATAAAAGCGGTGTCCCTGCAGAGAGCTCCGCTATAATATTTGACATTTAAAAGTACAGCAAAGTTGCAACATTGTATCTATTTATATCCGAATAGAAACATCTGTATCCGAAATGGATAAAAATAGATACAATGTTGCAACTTTGCTGTACTTTTAAATGTCAAATATTATAGCGGAGCTCTCTGCAGGGACACCGCTATTATATTTGCCGGCTGTAGACGGCACAAAAATCAGCCGATTTTTTTTTTTTTACCAATGGTGGTAACGTCGGTCGATTGAACAACTGAAAAAAAAAAAAAAAAAAAAAATGGCCGGTTTTCTCCCCGTCTATGGCCTGCATGATCAGCCATATTTTCCACCTTACCAACCGCTCCATCTCCGCCCACCCCCCTCTCCCAATCCCTCCACTGGCTTCCGATTGCGCAATGGATACAATTCAAAATCCTAACACTGATGTACAAAGCAGTCCACCATACTGCCCCGAACTACATCACCGACCTAATATCCAAGTACCGCCCAACACGCACACTCCGCTCCTCACAAGACCTCCTTCTCTCTAGTTCCCTGGTCTCCTCCTCCCATGCCCGCCTCCAGGACTTCTCCAGGGTGTCACCCATCCTCTGGAACTCCCTGCCCCAACCCATCAGATTATCACCTACTCTCCTCTCCTTTAGGCGCATCCTGAAAACCCATCTCTTCAGGGAAGCCTACCCCACTCTTCCTACCACTCCATCCCCCACAGCTATCTCCTCCTGTGCCACCATCTCCTCCCTCCTAGATTGTAAGATGGAAAGAGCAGGGCCCTCGATCCCCTCATGTTTTGCATTGTATTGGTATTGTTCTGTCACATGTTCTGTCCCCCTTTGTAATGTACAGCGCTGAGCGAACCATTGGTGCTTTATAAATACTGTATAATAATAATAATAATAATAATAAATGCCAAAATGTCACGTTTTGTGCCAGGGGGTGCAAACATTTGAGCACAACTGTACACTAAAAAAAATGCCAATTTTTACTTACAAGTACCTATTTTTATTAATATAATCAGATCAAAGTATAAGAAATAAGAATGATCTGTGTTCCTTTCTATGGCATAAACTGTACGATGCGTTTCAGGGATTTTATGACAGCAGGTTTGTTTTTTTTTTATTACCTGTCTCTGGAGATCCAAATCTGCTTTATTGCCAACCAGAATCATTGGAAACTCATCTCTGTCTTTAACGCGGAGGATCTGCGTGTGAAACTTGCTGATCTCATTGAAGCTAAGAGAAACGAGAAGCAGAAAACGTTTTTTTTTTTTGGGCTGTACATCACCTCTCAGAGATCGCACAATATAAAACTGGACACACTGTACACACACACAGACTGTACAAACGCCTTCAGATATAAACAACTATAGAATGTGAGGACCCAGCGAACAAGATATAAATGAAATGGGTTTTAGAAATTGAAATGCAATTGAAATTGCATTTAGATACTTTGGGGTTGATTTACTAAACCTGGAGAGTGCAATACCTGGTGCAGCTGTTCATGGTTCACGGTAGCCAATCAGCTTCTTCTCCTAGATTGTAAGCTCGAAAGAGCAGGGCCCTCGATCCCCTCATGTTTTGCATTGTATTGGTATTGCTCGGTCACATGTTCTGTCCCCCTTTGTAATGTACAGCGCTGAGCGAACCATTGGTGCTTTATAAATACTGTATATAATAATAATAATGCAGGCCATACATTGTTTGAATCCGCAACGATTTTTTGTCCGAAAATCGAAAACTTTCATTCGGTAATCCGATGGTGCCATCAATGATTTTGAAAATTGGCTAATCAAGTCATAACGTTCACCCCATAGAACAGTCGAAACTTCTGTTCCTTCCAGGTCACGGCTCATGCGCATATTCTTTTCGGAAAAAACATACGTTTTTGACCATCCACAGAGTCGAAAAGCCGTCGTTTTTCACAAATTATTTATCCAACATGCCCGATCATCAAAAAGGGGAGGAACCATTTTTCCATAATCGGCCGGTGCCATTGATAATCCCACTAGCAGAGTGAAAAAAATCGTTCAATTATTCTATTCCTTTCAGAAAAACTATTGTACAATTTGACCATCATTAAGTTGAACAATCGGTCGTTTTTCATGAATTTTCCAACATGCCCGATCACCGAAAAGGGGAGGAACCATGAAAATCAACCGGTGCCATTAACCCACAAGCAGAGTGAAAAATCGGCCAATTCTATTCTTTTTGGAAAAACGATCGTACAATTTGACCATCATTGAGTCAGAAAATCGGTTTGTTTTTCACAAATTTTCCAACATGCCCGATCACCGAAAAGGGGAGGAACCACGAAAATCGGTCGGTGCCATTGACCCAATAACAGAGCAAAAAAACCGTCCGATTATCCTTAGGTCCGATTTTTGGACGAAAAAAGCGGTCGAATTTCGACCCACATATTGCCAGCCTAACTAGCCAATTGGTTTCTATGCAGAGCTGCACCAGATTTTGCCCTCTCCAGTTTTAGTAAATCAACCCCTTTGTGTCAATTGAAAATTTGTACAGATTAAGTCATGTATGGGCAGATATGAGGCACCTCATGACACTTTAGTACAAAATAACAGCAAATTTTCTCAAAGAATATAGGAGTGAAAGCCCTGCGCTGCTTCAATAATGAGAGCTAGAAAAAGAACAAAAAACAAAAACAAAAAAAAAATACAAAGAAACAAATCAAAAACAAAAAACACACAAGCAGAAAATAAAATAAAAGTTGTGATGATAGTGGCTGCTGCTAACATCAAATTGTGTTCCCGCAATAGTAGAGCAAATTAAAAATAAATAAGTGATGTAGCGAGTTATAGAATAGCTACAAAAAATTAATGAAAAAATGAACGTCCATAATGAGTCCATAAATGTAACATCAATTCTGTAATAAAAATTCTACCAGAATTCACGTGTTTTCTTCTTGTGCCGACATCCCAAACACCATCAAGTGAAACAGTGCACATAACATATAGTGCCACCCAGGGGTGGACTGACAACTCATGGGGCCCCAGGGCAATAGGGGATCATGGGGCCCCTGTGTCCTTGCCCAAACTCAAAAAAGCCTATGAAAAAGGTACCAGGGGCATCTCATGGGGCCCCCTACTGACCCCGGGCCCGAGTTTCCAAATGGTCAGTCCGCCCCTGGTGCCACCTCCGTGCTCACAGAACTCTCACCTCAGAGCACATGGAAATGCGCTTTATAATTTTATTATTATTATAATACAGGATTTATATATTATTATTATTATTTATTATATATTATATTATTATTATTATACAGGATTTATATATTATTATTATTATTATAACAGAATTTATATATTATTATTATTATTATACAGGATTTATATAGCTCCAACAGTTTCCTCAGCGCTTTACAATATAAAGGGAGACAATACAGCAACAATACAGTTCAATACAAGAGGGATAGGAGGGCCCTGATCCTCGGAGCTTACAATCTATGAATATCAAATAGACAAAAGGATTCTTCACTTTTTTAATCCACAACCATGTGATCATAATCAGAAACCTTTGAGCTTTCAATAGATTGTCAAACCAGAGTCGGGATCGGTCCCTTTAAGGGTGATGGAGGTCACACATTTTTAAAAAGGGAACAAAGGACACTCCCATGGTGCAGTATGTACTAGTATATACAATGTATTAAGAAGTAGTAATACATTCACATGTAGTAAAAGCATAAAATGCCATAAAAATCATCAGATGCCGGCTTCACTTGTCAGCTGAACTCACTATTCATGTCTGCCCAGAGCCAAGCTCCTTACGCGTTACATCAAGCCCACGTGACTTCATCAGAGGGATCCCTCTTCATCCCTCTGATGAAGTCACGCGAGCATGATTTAACAGGTAAGGGGCTTGGCTCTGGGCAGACATGGGAAAAAAGAAAAAAAAATTGCTGATAATCACTGATCACTCCAGCAAAAAAAAAATTTAAGGGCATTTGACTTATTTTTTTTTTTTGTTTCCCTGCCCCTAAACACCCCTCTGGTGGCTTTAATGCCCTTGTCTAAGAGGCATTTACAAGCGTTTAAAGGCAAAAAAAAACCCTAAACAGTGCTAGCGTATTCAGAACACCCAACATGCCCCCCCCCCCAGGGAATAACAGACACCACAACCAGGGGCGGACTGACCATTTAGGCACTTGGGCACTGCCCGAGGACCCGGGGTCAGTAGGGGGCCCCATGAGATGCCCCTGGTACCTTTCATAGGCTTTTTTGGGTGCGGTTTGAGTGTGGGTGAGGACACAGGGGCCCCATGATTTCCTATTGCCCGGGGGCCCCATGAGTTGTCAGTCCACCCTTGACCAGAACAGTGGCTTCACTGACCTCCTAACGGATTCTCCACACCAATATATGCACTCTGGAAAGGGTAAAAAAGGAACCTCTGCCTGTAGTAAAGTCATGGCTACCACAAATTTGAGCCGAGGGAAATTTCCCTGCCTAGTAGTACAGAACCAGAGCAGTGTCCAATTCTGCCTCAACTCCCACCCAAAACTGAAGAAAACAGTAAAAGTGATTTTTATAAAATCCTTTAGAATATGTTCTACTTACCTGCTCTGAGAGCTCCCCCCCCCCCAAGTATCCCCCCTCACCGGCACACAGAGCACGGTTCAGCTCTGCCCCCTCTTCACTGGCTGTGATTAACAGCAGGAGGAGCCAATTGCTCCCGCTGCTGTCTCTGAGCCAATGAGGAGAGAGAGCAAAAGCGCAAGCAGGGGCGGGTGGATGGGTCTGAATGCAGAGGATTTTTTTTCTTTCTTTTCAACCTTAATGCATTAAAGCAGAGTTCCACCTGAAATAAAATAAAAAAGTCAGCAGCTACAAAAACTGTAGCTGCTGACTTTTAAAATACAGGACACTTACCTGTACCTCGGTCCCCTGGTGCCGGCATCTACAGTGTGGGCACCTGGCTGGACAGCTTGCGGTTTCACAGCCGGGTGCCCACTGCGTATGCGCGAGAAGAGCTGCGCTTTGTGAATGGTCCCGTAGTCTTCTGGGTCCCGTCACATGGGAGCTGCTACCTGTCAACTTCGGGTACCCACTCCCCTAAGGTGCCAATCCTTAATGGGGAGCGGGGGACAAAGGCTTAAAGCTGAACTTCCCCTTTTGGGTGGAGCTCCGCTTTAAAAGGTAAAACAAATCTGCCTTTAGAACCACTTTAACCCCTTCACGCCTAAGGGTAAAACAAATCTAAATGCCGAAGAACAATTTTGCAACGTTGACCTGTGTTAGTAAAACGGTCCATATATCATCACAACTACTGTGTGTGCATCCAGGTGAATTATACCGCGTTTTTTTTTTTTTTTTTTTTTTTTTTTTTTAAGAACAAAGTGGGCTTTAATTTTTTTGGTAAATGGTAATGGATATCTCCTGATTATTTTTTAATATAATATATTATATTAAATATAATATATAAAGGAAAACTGGCCCAAAATCGTAAAAAAAAAATTCTTTTTTTTTTAATTTAGCGGTGTGTTTCTTGTTACTACCATAACCTACCACCAAAGAACAACCCAAAATAAATAACCCAGCTCTTGACAAATCGCAGCAATACCATAAATGTGTATGTTATTTGTTGTTTGTACCCGTAGTACAGCCCAGAAACAATAGTTGGGTTTTTTTTTTTTTTTACCGAAAACACACTAACATTGACACCAATTTTTTTTTTAAAACCCGACCTTTGACCCTAACCCAAACACTTACCCTGGCACTGAACTAGATCAAACCTTGATCTAGGTATTTGTTCTTTATTTTTTCTCTGATTTTTAAATATTTATTTATTTTTATTTATTTTACAAACATTTTTTTCCCCTCAATGCCAGGAGTTAGAGAGATACAATGTATATCTCTCTCCTCCATTCATAGAGAAAAAAAAAAAAACAAAAACCAAACAGGCCGTGCTGTACAGTGACTGATCACTGTGATAGCCAATTAAAGGCTATCACAGCGATCATGTGACCCGGAATCAGGAGTCCCGGGTCCAGATCATTAGAACGGGACCTGGTGCTCTCAGTGACACTGTGGTCTTTGTGCTGGGAGCGCGCCACAGGTACGCAAAATATGCGGCCCTACGGAAAAAAGCCCAGTTCTGTGAGGCCGCATATTTGTGTGACGTCAGCGTCAAGGGATTAAAGAGTCAGTAGGCTAGAAAAACACATTGCAGTCTCTACAAAAAAATGTTTAAAACACCGGGGTTGATTTACTAAACCTGGA